GAGACAGGGACGATTGCAGGTGCAGCAGGGGATGGAACAGGTGCAGCAGGAGCGAAAGCAGGAGGGGCTGGCGTTGGCAAACTTTTCACATCTTCCTTTTGCCGCGTCAGAGGAACATTCGTAGCATCGTCAGTTGTATCTGGATTTGTAGGGGCCTGCAGCGACTCAGCAGCTAGCGAGGTGTCGGCAGTAGAAGGATACGTGGGCTGATTATAAAACCATGAGGACCACTGATTGTGATAAGGTTGATTTGACTGCGCATCTCCTGGCTTCTTGATATCGCTCCACCAACTAGGGCCACTCCACCACAAACTGTTCCCACCCAAGCCATAGAGACCCCAGCCATTAGCTCCCCACCAATTCCAATTACCACTGTCCGCACTAGACACAGCACCAATTTGAGCACTGTCACCTGTAGAGATGTCATGGAAATTCAGTCCTTGGTTGGTCTCGCGGTCATCATTGCCTGTATTCGTTTGTACATTTCGCTGTGTCTGTACCTGTGTGTCGACATCGTTTTGCTGTCCTTGCTGTCCATTTGTGTTATAGCCACTCCAACTGTAACTGTACTGGCTTGATTCAGAAGCATGAAGTCGACGAGTCGTTGTATCACCCTTTGATTCCCCCGGTGCTGGATCCCAAGCTTTCGATTCATCATCGTTGCTGCTACTTCGCGACTTCGTGTTACTGGTGTTGGACTCCAAATTTTCTCCCTCGCTTAACGTTGAATTTCTCACTCTCCCAAACGCAGCTTTTCGTCGCTTTTTTTTTGAGTCGGCACCTTCGTTGTTATCACTGACGTGGCTATTCAGAAGAAATTCTTTGAATTCGTCCATTGTCATCAGTGTAAGCGGTCCGTCAGTTGTAAATTCGGCCATTGGATTAGCAGTCCGTGCTTCATTAATTTGTTCCTTGGTCATATAGAAACGTTGTAGCTGATCTTCTCGTACATCATCTAAACTTCGTGATTCTGTCACCGGGATAAAACCATTCTTCTTTCCCATGGGGCCGTACTGCTCCAGCCAAATGTCCAGCTCAGTATTCACATGTTCTTTCTCTTTCAAGTATCGGTGGTATTTAGGAATGATGTCCGCGTGCATCGGTCGCGCATTGACATCCGCGATATTACCTGATGTCACGATTGCCACTGCCAGTGCGAGACGAGCGGTTGCCAATCGAGACTGCATGCGCTTCACCTGTACCGGTATGCCTGCTCTGTAAAGCCCGCTACCCCTTGAGTTTCCGGGTAAGCCAGATGATAGAGGGCGAAATTGCAAGTCGAAAAGTGTTGTAGATGCGACCAGATCAGCTTGAGATTGTGAGGGAGCCAGAGATTGGTTTAGCCGGCTGGCGGTCGGAATAAACGGGCCTTTGACTTGTTTTTCGAGTGGAAAAGCTGTGGCAACCACGCAACAGGCCATCGACTTAGCGATGAGATGTGTGACGACACATTGTCTATGATCAGTGCAACCTTGACGTCGCTTTGTTTACTTTTAATGAGGTCAATACTATTGCGTTCCATATCGCTCATGAGGTTATTGCAGACGTATTTTAACGTCAAGCAACAACATTACCTGTGCTTAATAATGCAGAGGTTATTTATAGGGTACGCAATGTCCGACATCATATGGCTAGCACTTTTTATGGAACAGACTGACTCGTACAGGCGGAAAGCACATTGAGCATGGATCCTGTCAGACGCTTTACAACTCTGTTGGATAAAGTTGCCCTTGTTACCGATGGCCATCCAATTCTGCATCCGGTTTGACTTTAATCGCAGGTCTTACGACAGTACTCAACAAATTGTTGCGGTGTATGTAGTTCTCATTGTAAAAGTAATAACCGTACATTACAAACAGTAAAAGTGTGCTTAAAAAGTGAGCTCAATTAGTATTTTTTACTTTCGGTAAACTAACTGACCACCTTTTCCAGTAGAGGTTCTCCATTTGTAAGACGTGTGCATCTATGCATTGACCAAATCCTGTTCTTCATGCAGTGCCTTACATGCTGAGCTATAGAAGGGGACGGCAAGTGCTTTTCTTTTGACTTTCGCACACATTGCATCTGAAAAGTAGTTTTCTCGCTTTGTGTACACTTTCATTCTCAACTCTGGACACAATGCGCCACTTCATGGTGAACAAACAATCACGAATGCTTTATCATTGTGTAGAGTGTTCGATTAGTACAGCCTCAAAAGTAGCTTAACCTATACTTGTGTGCCCTCACTCACGAAACGGTGTGCAAACCGTATTATGGAGTCCTTACACGTTGCACTTTGGCTGGAACGTGCCAAAGCGTACGATCGTTGGAAGTGTCATGACTAGTAGTGGTAATGGTAAGGGTGATTGAATTTTGCTCTATCTGAAACGTGAGCTGCTAGCCGCCAACTATGCACTACATACGGTCTCATTTTTGGAATTGTAGACCACTTATATTCTGTTTGATTATGTCACTCATGAATATCTACCTGTTACTCAAAAAGCTCTCACTTCCACTCCTAGAATAGAGCGTACAAACCCATCATCTGTGCGATTTCGAAAGCAAAACATCTTAATTAGAGCTTCCTGTCTGCAAGGCACACGGCAAACCCGTTGTACTTGGTATCACTTGTAGTGAATTCGAAGAACGAGTCGAAACAAGTTCAAATGCTCTGTGAGGAGAGATTACGAGCTGTCTAAATGCCTGCCCTCACACAAAAAGCACGCTTCATAAGCTGTTGTCTCAGTCGTAGAAGTATGCCAATTTGGATGTGGCCATAGAGGGATAAGGCTATTGGCGGCTGTAGATTCTAGAATCGCACATTTTGAAGCAATCCTCGGCTTTGAGGATTGCCGGGAAGATACCTCCCGGGACGCACCAAAGGAAACAGCAGCCGGCTCACGCCGAGATGCCACTGATTTCAAGCATCCAGCCATTTGAAGGCACACACGGGGAAGTTCTCTTGCCATCAGTAAGAAAGGCTGATATGGCCATATATTCGACCATGCTTTCGATGAAGCATCAGCTTGTCGCGATAGTGGTTTTTGAGGAAGAAGGTGGCACGCGAGAGTACGCAACTATGTATGGTGCAAGGCGTTCGCGCTTAATTCTATCACAGAGGTCACATCCTCGCGTAAACCGGTGCTGCTCGGCTGGCCACAAAATGTTACTTTTCAGCTCGGCTATGGACCATCCCCTCATGTACGCCGTATGATTTTGCCTCTCATAGCCCACACAATTTTCAGGGTAGTTGTTTTTGGTGCAATACCCTCCGCATCAGAGCCCCCTTTAATGGCGCAAAAGGTCTCAGTGCTAGTGCATCGGGCTGTATGCTTTTCGTACTGCTGGTAAATGCTATCATCTTTGAGAAAAAGATACTGCCAACACGGCAACGGGAGTCTAAAACTCGTCGACAAAGTTCACTAATTCTCACCTTCTTTGCTGGGCGGAAATAAGTTTTGAGTGCGCACGGTACGCCTGTTAAGGGGGCCAGGCATGTCGCTTCAATATTTGTCCGTTTGAAAATGTCTTGTCTATAGAGGCTTGCTTCTTACTCTTATATATAATTTAAGTCCGAACAGAGTCAAGATCAAAAGCAGGGACGACCGACAAATCTTAAACAAGAAAAGTCAAGTCCCGAAGCTTTTTGGAAAGAGCTGCACTTTTTTGTATGTCGCGGAGGGTTGGATCAACGAAGGCCCGTACTGATGCAACTCTTCCTCCCAGATCACGGAGAGGTGGGGTTGGCATCCCTGGGTTGCTGATTGTCAAAATCAATGATCCAAACTTTACAAGCCATCAAAACCAAAGTGATTTAGGTTTGTCATGTAAGTTCTTACGAGCCGACGCTGCAAAAATATATATCGGAATCGTTTTCTTGCTACAAAGACATGTCAGGTTCTCTAAAATATGTACAGATTTACAGCTCGGAGCGCATTCTAGTTCTTGACCGCATTAGAGATACGGTCTGATCCTCTGCGTGGCGTGGCAGGAATTCAATGAGCCATGGGAAGACCGAAAGTCAAGTCGATTAAGTACCATACACCCCCCCCC